AGCAATCAATTATACCGAAAATAGAAGAGAATGGGAGAAGAGCTCAAACACAAAGATTTATAACGGTTCGGCTCACCGACTTGCATCCACTCCTCAAGGTACCTCTTTGAGAATTCCTCCACTATGAATTGAATCAATACACCACCGAGCTTCACCTAGCTTGTGGATTTTTATATAGGACTTACTTTATCTGTTAAGGACTCTCAACTAAATGCCTCACCTTACAAGTGTTTTGCTCATAAATAAGGGAATAAGAATAAGAGGTACAACTATCCTCTTTTACAAAATATTTCTCTCAAAAGATAAATATGAAAGTGAAAAAGTAGAGGGATTTTTTAATACACTCACATATGAAAGTGGAAGTGCAATAGAGTATGATAAATGAAGGTTATTGAATGCTCAGAGTTTCTGTGTTGGAGAGAAGTACATTCAGATCTAGAGAGCTTCTTCATTTATAGCTTTAATGGCTTCTAGCCGTTAGAGAGAAGTATGAGTGAGTATTCTAGCTGTTGGAGCAGATCAAGGGTAATATCTTTTAGCTGTAAGGAGCAGAGCATGGGTGATATCTTCTAGCTGTAAAGAGCAGAGCATGGGTGTGCACAGGCTGTTATAAAGTCTTTGGAAGTGGAGCCTCATTAAATGCACAAACTCATAAGTCAAATCTTGGAAGCTGATAGTAGAAGATATTGTGTCATAAAAGTCTGCTCACAAATCAGAAATCATTGTTGTTCTGCGCATAGATCAGAAAAAGTGGCTAAGATTTGAGTTATGTCAAAATAGATTTGAATGGGCAGCTAGCTTTTTTTGTAACTCAGATTTAAAGGTGTCGACCCCTGTAGATTGGGTATCGACCTTTTGCTTCTCTTTTCTACTCTTTGTGATTTCCAGGCGTTCCTGGTGTCGAGCCTTTCGAAACTAGGTGTCGACCCTTTGTTTGCTGACAGTCTGAACTTTGTATACTGAAATTTAGTGTTAACCCTTGTCATTCTTGGTGTCGACCCTTGTTGTTGGATTGTCTGAGCCTTGTATACTGAAATTTAGTGTCGACCCTTATCATTCTTGGTGTCAACCCTTGGTACACTGAAACTTGGTGTCGACCCTTGTCATTCTTGGTGTCGACCCTTGGTTACTGCAACACTTAGGCATTGTGTACTTCATTCTAGTGTCGACGCTTATTGTCTTGGTGTCGACCCTTAGAGCTGTTTAAAGCACAGATAGTGTTTTGCATACATGTGCCAATTCCATGTTTTTGAGGTACCAATATTCATGAGAAAATGGCAAATTTTAAGCATTCATCCATTAGAAACAATGAAGAGCAATAATATAATATTATTTTGAAAACTTTGAATAAATAAATAAGTTCAAAATATTTGTCGATAATCAAAATCAATAAGAATTTAAATTCAAATAACCTTGGGGCTAACTTGATTCACTACCCTATTTTCTATTGTGAATGAAATGATTTATGAATTATGATATCAAAATGGCATTGCATAGTTTTGGAAAGAGATATATAATATTTTGGCACAGATTCATATACTGTGTTAGATTATTTCTACTGGCTTTGGCTCACCCTATATGGGAAAAACATTTCAGGTGCTGATGATATGCCACCGCCAAGGCAATAGCTTGGGAGGACTTGGAGCAAGAGCTTTATTTTTGTTTAATTGTTATATATGTTTTGTACAAGCTAAGGGCCTTTATTTGTATTGGATTTAAATCCACTTTTGTTGTAACCAAGCATTGTCTTGGAAAGTTGTAAGCCTTTAGGGCATTTGTTATCTATTTTACTTTCATGTCATATCTCTTATTGTAACACATGATACAGATTCAGAGTTAGGGCTTGTGAATGTATGAATACATGTGTCATCTTTTGTATAATTCAAATCATATATGAATGGAAAGGATATTTATTTTGGAAATGCATTGTCTTATTTGATTATACATCATAGTTTGTCGTTTATATTTTCAGGGCGTTACAAAGACTAAGTCCCTTTTTGTCTAGTTTGTATGTATATAGTGACGTAAGGATGATGTGTATATATATAAAGTTTAAAAAAATTTCTGTCCCATATATATTTACAAAGCTCAATGGACATTGCATATTTGTTATTTGCTTCTACTAGCCCCTAATAATTTTATTTCTGTTTAAGAGGCCTTCAGTAATCTACAAATACTGGCCAGTTACGATGCTAAACCTATAGGGGCAAGTTTGGGTCATGAAAAGACCCCTCAGAAAGTGTCTTGTGGCTTCTATTCTGGAAATCCTGCACTGACCTAAATCTCAGCCAAAAGATGAATTCGGCCGGCCCTTTTTCCTATTCGGCCGGCCACTGTTATGTATAGCCGACTAACTTCTTCGAGAACAGAGCATACAATTTATGGAGAGTGTTCCCCTCGGTGCTTCTAGAGCTGCGGGTCAATTTCTTTTATTTGTTTTATATGATTTGTTAGATTCAGCAATAACTTGGCTAAATTAATTCATTGTTGTAATAATTTCTTCAATTTCCCTTCTTTTCTTTTTTATTATTATTTATTCAAAGTGTTGTAATAATCCCTCTCTCTCTCTCTCCCCCTCTCTCTCCCTCCCCCTATCCTTTCTTATTCAAATTGTTGTAATAATCTTCCAGCCTCATGTGTTTCTAACCCTTTTATTTATGTGCTTTCTGTATAACATCATGTTTTATTTATCATATCTATACTGTGCATCCATCTTTCATGCATTGAGATTCGGTTAATTTGCATATGTAGGTTTTATCAATTCTTATGTGTCTTTGTGCGCTAATTCATATCTTGAAATGATTCACATATCATGTACTTAGCAGCCGAATCTATAGTTTCATTCTTGTATATGTACTGCATTAGCTATTTGTATATAGGATCATGCATATATATAGCATATTATTTTTTGGTTTGCCACGGAGGAATACTAGATGAGCATTTATAGCTTTAGCATCTGGGTTGTGTATGTTATTTTACCATATTTAGCATCTTATCATGCAACTATGTGCTTAAATGATATACCTCCTCTAAAACCAGTGGATAAGAGTTGTGTTGCTTAGGTTGGAATGATGTTGGTTGATATACATGTGAGCTTAGTTTTCTTTAAATTGTATATTTATTCAAAAACCTTTCAAAATGTATAAAATCAAAGCATACCAAAATAAGTGACATGATCTATAATTGAATGCCTCACATAGTGATGTTAGCATTCTAAAATAACCGGAACATGAGCATATAATGTTTATAAAACTCATATCATGGTTTGGTAGAGACCAATCTTTTGATCGGGTAAGCGGGGATGCTCAATTCATGACTCTCCCCCCTTATACCTAAGGTTTCGAATCAAGGCATCTTTGGTTATGATGAATAATGGCCTTTAACACGACTCACGGGTTTCTTATTTTCCCCAAAAGATTAGGTGATGACTCTAAGATCTGGTGATGTAGTCCATTTCTAGTATATTTTGCAATAAATAGATTTTCGATAAAAGTTACCTGATTTGAACTCTCATTTTTTGTTTCACGCACTAGTAAGACTAGATCAGGAGATTGGGAGTCTGAATTATTGGGCACGCTTAGTAACTCCAAAAGCATCCCATATTAAAATTTGAAAACCCTAATTTTTTATTACATCTCATTACTATTACCTCTATCAGCCCATTATTCTTACTACCTCTTCATCACTGGCTAGCCCCTCACCGCCAACAACTGCCACCTAGTCCCTCATTGTCTTACCGCCTCACCCCACCACTCCTTATCGCCGCTATCTCTGATTACCCATGTCTCACTCTTTTTAGTTGTCGCCGGCTACTTCTCTCCCACCATCTATTGTCCGCCACCCCTTCTTTTCTCCTTCTCTTCTTCTTTTTCTTTTTCTTGTTGCCATAAGCAAATTAGAGAGATCTAGACAAACCAGATCACGTTTTGCAGTAAAGAAAAGAGATGTGAGAGAAGCGAGGCTAATTTGGACTATGATTTGGTCAGTTCTTTATCTTTCGTTTTCTCTCTCTCTATCTCTCTTTCTCTCTCTATATATATATGGCGATCTTGTGAGATTCAACGTCGATGACTCCAACGAAGGGTTTGTAGAGATTAGGAATGGGTGGAAGGGATAGAGGCATCGGCAGCTATGGATGGTGGGACGAGAGGTGGTCTTAAAGGTTTGAAGGTGGTGGTTGGAAGGTGGGGATAGGGTTTTTGGAGGAGGAAGAGGAAAGGAAAAAAAATAAGAAAAAGAAGAGAATAAGGAGATGGTGCACTGGCTTTGGTGGAAAGGGCGCTGGTGGAGACCGCCGCTGGTGACAGTGGCATCGAGCGACGACAATGGCAGAAATGAGGAAAGTGGATGAAAGAGAAAGGAGATGCACATGTGTGTAAGGAGAGTAGTGGTTGAAGAGTGGTAAAATTGGTATATTGAAAAGTGTAGAGAGAGAGAGAGTAAAAAATTAATTGATTGTAATGAGAAAATGCATGCAAGAAGATCAAATTGTAGTGCAAGTAAAATTACCCATTTGAAATTTTTTTTTTCACTTATCATTCCAATTAAAATTTGAAAAAAGTACTAAAAAATAATGGGAGAAATATCAAATCAATGGGACAATCAAAGATTATTTATTTTTTTATAATGGTGCAACTTTTGTGTGTGCATGGTGTAAATTCTCCATGTCCATTGTGTAAGTCCTCACCATAAAAAAATTCCATCTCTAATGCAATAATTTCTCCAAGCTTCCACTGATTTGATATTCCCCAAAAATAATATAGAGACTAATAAAAATAAAATAAAAAATATGAACTTAGATGGTAAAAATAAATAATAATGATATTTAAGAAAATTCTACTATACACATCTTAAAAGGGGTATTTTTTTTCTTTAATTATAACATTATTTTAATTATTAGTTATGATTTTTTTTTAATTATAACTTAAAAAATATAAAATTATATATTTTTTTAAATTATAAAGTGCACATGACAAGCACCGTGTACCATAAACTTTCCCTAATATTTAACCCATATAAATATTAATCCAAAGCATGACACTCTGACATGAAGTTTTAACGTCTCTACAATTTAAAATTTTGAGCCTGCTTCACCAGCTAACAATGGAAGGCAAGGCCATCACTTATTTGGTAAATCTCTTGCAGTCTTGCATAGACAAGAAAGCCCACCTATCAGGCAAACTCCTCCATGCTTATATACTACGTAATGGCCTCTCTTCCGACACCTTTCTCTCCAACCGCCTCATCGAATTATATTCCAAATGTGGTCATACAGATACTGCTCGCCATTTGTTCGATAAAATGCCTCACAGAAACATTTATTCATGGCATGCCATGTTAGATGGTTATTGTAAAGCTAGAAAATTAGAAGATGCACATGAACTGTTTGCAGTAATGCCTGAAAGAAACACGGTGTCGTGGAACACCTTGATTAGTGCTTTAGTTCGAAGTGGGTTTGAAAAAAAAGCATTGGATGTTTATCATATGATGAATCTTGAAGGTTTTATGCCTACCCATTTCACATTGGCTAGTGTTTTTAGTGCTTTTGGTGCATTGATGGAGGTAGACTGTGGTATGGAGTGTCATGGTGTTGCTATTAAGATTGGTCTTGACAAAAATATGTATGTGGCTAATGCTTTGTTGTGCATGTATGCAAAGTGCAGGAGTATTAGGGATGCAATTCGGGCATTCAGGGACTTGCCTGAACCTAATGAGGTTTCTTTCACGGCAATGATGGGAATGCTAGCAGAGAGTCACCAGGTTGAGGAGGCATTTAGTATGTTTAGATCAATGCACAGAACCAGAATTCATATTGATTCGATTTCATTGTCGAGTGTTCTGGGTGTTTGCACAAGAGGAGGAACAGGGGAATTTTGTGTCACTAGTGAGATGCATGGGTTTTCAAGTAATATGCATGGCCAACAAATACATAGCCTCACTGTTAAACTTGGTTTTGAGAGAGATCTTCACTTAAATAATTCATTGCTTGATATGTATGCGAAGAATGGGGACATGAACAGTGCTGGGATTATTTTTAATAATTTACCAGAAGTTAGTGTTGTTTCTTGGAACATCATGATTGGTGGGTATGGCCAGAAATATCAAGCTGAGAAAGCTGCGGAGTATATGCATATAATGCTGTGTCAGGGTTTTGAACCTGATGAGGTCACTTTCATCAATATGCTTTCAGCATGTGTCAGGTCTGGACATATTGAAAGTGGACGTAACATATTTGATAGAATGGTATGCCCAAGATTGAGTTCATGGAATGCGATACTCTCAGGGTATTCCCAGAACAGAAACCACAAGGAGGCAGTAAAGCTTTTTAGGGAAATGCAGTTTCGAGGTGTCCAACCTGATCAGACTACTGTGGCTATTATCCTCAGCTCATGTGCAGGGATGGGGCTTCTAGAGGGTGGGAAACAAGTCCATGCTGCCTCAGTAAGGGCTATGTTTGATACTGATACATATGTTGCTAGCGGACTTATCGGTATGTATTCGAAGTGCAACAGAATAGAGAGAGCAGAATGTATTTTTGATAGAATCCCAGAATTGGATATTGTTTGTTGGAATTCTATCATAGCAGGTTTATCACTAAATTCTTGGGACAAGGAAGCTTTCACCTTCTTTAGGCAAATGCTAGGAAGGGGGATGTTTCCCACCGAATTCTCTTATGCTACTGTCTTGAGTTGTTGCACAAAACTATCGTCTTTATCTCAAGGGAGACAGATTCATGCTCACATAGCACAATATGGATATATTAACAATGTCTTTGTGGGGACTGCTTTGATTAATATATATTCTAAATGTGGTGATGTAGACGGGGCCAAACAACTTTTTGATGAGATGCCTTGTAAAAATACTGTTACTTGGAATGAGATGATCCATGGGTATGCACAGAATGGATGTGGCAACGAGGCTGTTATTCTCTACGAAGACATGATTGGATCAGGAGAGGAACCTGATGCCATTACCTTTGTTGCTGTTTTAACTGCTTGTAGCCATTCAGGACTGGTAGATATGGGGATCAAAATATTCAATTCAATGCAGCATGAACATGGTGTGGAACCACTTTCAGATCATTACACTTGCATCATGGATGCTCTGGGCCGTGCTGGTCGGTTCCATGAAGCAGAAGTACTTATAGATAAGATGCCCTATAAAGATGATCCAATTATATGGGAGGTTTTACTCAGTTCTTGTAGGGTTCATGCTAACGTAAGCCTAGCAAGAAGAGCAGCAGAGGAGCTTTTCCGCTTGGACCCTCAAAACTCTGCCCCTTATGTGCTTCTTGCCAATATATATTCTTCTTTGGGAAGATGGGAAGAAGTAAAGGTTGTTAGGGAAATGATGAATGATAAGCAGGTATTCAAGAATCCAGGTTATAGCTGGGTTGAACATAAGAATAGGATGCAAGTCTTTAAGGTTGATGATGATTTTAGGATGGCGATTGATGAATTTGAAGAAGAAAATGTTGAAATATGTTACTTTAATGGATGATACAATGGCAAGACAATTTGATATGTGGCATTTGTATTGCTCAGAAGATTGGTGTTGACTAGGTGATATCATCCTCCCTAAGGCAACAATCCTGAGTTATATGAACGTGATGGACCAAAACATCTGAGGTTCCAAATGGAATAAGTAGCAAAGTGACTTTCTTTCTTGTTTATACCAAAAGATGACTGATTCTCTTACAGAAGCTGGAGAGAACCATTGGCTTCTTGGGAGCCCGGGAGGTACATTAACAGCATTTTGCGTCCTTCCAAAATTTGATGTACACATGCAACATTATTCTCTGATTAAAATGAACTAAAAGATAAGCAACACATGTAATCTCTGCGGTAATATTCTTCATGTGACACGAAATATGCGTGCAAATTGGAATGTTGCCAAATTATGTCACTAGAAGAAAGCTCTAGATTAATTTTGTAAAAAAGGTTGTATCACTGTTATAAGGCTCCCGTTTATAGCAGGGTTGGGAGAGGTAATAGGTAGGCATCCTTTTTTTTCTCTTTTTTTTTTTATATCTCAAGGTGTCCAGGCCAGCTTACGCGCATAATTTGTTTTTTTTTTTTTGCACGGAAGAGACTGATCCCTGTGGCTAGGGGCAGATAGCACTTGCCTTAGTGCTAGGTCACTACCCATTATCCATATAATTTTGTTTATGCTGTTGGCTTTCATGCTCTTGTTTTTTTTATAATGACACTCAACAACCTTCTAAGTGCAAAGATAACGTCCCAATATTTGGCCATCGTTAGATAATGGAAGGGAGCTGTGTATATTGCGAACAAAAGTAAGGCAGCACGGTGTAATTTCAGAAACCATGAGGGAGGTCCCTATAATTGTCAGAAACTTAAGGAGAGGTCCGTGTAATTAACCCATTGAATTTTGATTATTTGTACATTGCAGTGGTAATATATTCATATTTTGTTAGACCTGAAACAGGATGCTGGAGATGCTACGTTGTAGTAGGATTCCTGAGGGTCAAAATGATTTTTACGTATTTGATTGGGTAGTCGCTGGCTAATGATGCTGTAATTCTCAGGAATTTCTTATTAGCATGCATACTTTGTTGAAATTTTGATTCAACTATTATTTTTCATTGAATGCTTCTTTCTGTTTCCCCAATCATCTTACTTTTCTGTTCTTTTTCTATCTTTGTTTCTGTTTGCTTGACGGTTGCCCTTTCAGTATTCACCTATTTTCTTCAGTTTCTTTTATTTTCATACATCATTCAATCTAGTTTTTGCTTTCCTGTCATTAGAATCCTTCATTTTTTACGGCTGCGTACTTTATTTATGTGTGTCTTTATCAGTATGGTCTCACAATGCATGAAATTGTGGTTTCTGTAAGGTCTCACAATGCATGAAATTGTGGTTTCTGTAAGTCTTAAATGTTTCAGTATGTTTTTCAGGTTGACATTTTCAGGGACGCAGCAGACCATATGGTGAACTACATTGACCAAATTTGGACCCAAGGCTTTGAGATTGACTACTTAAGCATTTGTTGTCGACTGGGCATGGATCATTATCATGCTGTCACTATACTTCTCACACTCAGAAATCAAATTGACACTGTACTAAGGGTGCTTTTTCTAGTCTAGGCATGCAGAACCCATGCAGTTGATGTGGTCTGCGTGATAAGAAGGTATTTAAATCGCGTGAGTAAGGTGGTAGTTTTCTATGCATTACTAGTTTTATGCAACCTAACTTATATCTTCAAACCAAGCTCTGTAGAGATGATGAGAACCATGATCTTAGCTTGGAGATAGATGTGAGATCTCCTAATTGAGTCCTAGAGTGATAGGTCTACCTTTATTTCCTATCCTTCTCTAGAGTAGGTTATCTTAAGTAGTTACCCTTATATACACCTTGCAGACAGCTGAGAGCCCTTCAATTGTGATGGGTTTTTGTTTCTTGTGAAACTTACAGCATCATTTATATCACTGAATTATTTATTGTGGGATAGTGCATGTATGCATGTGAACATCTGGTGCACTGTTATTAAGTCTGGCTTTTAAAGAGAATGTTTACTCACTATTACCTTTTAGTGTAATTCATCGTATATGATAATGATAAAAATATGAACTTCATTAAATTCGCCATGGTCATCTATTTATCTGTACATATATGCATTTAAGGGCTCCAATCTTAACCAGGTTTCATAATTCAGCAAGTTTTTGGGCATTGTATTATGATATTTTGACATCTGAAGCCTTCAAATTTTTCAACGATGTACTTTGTGATTGTGTTCTTGTCTGTCCATGCTCTGGAAACATGGATCACAATGACAGTGGCAGGCGTTGAAGTGGTTTCGGACGTGACTTCCGACATGGCTATGACGGTTTTAGGGCTGCTGTGTTTTTTGTTGCTCTGATACCAACTTAGAAAATATGAGGAAGAAGAACTCCGAAAATATGAGGAAGAAGGAATATATTTCTGTTATATTCAAAACTTCTTATCTTACAAGACCAAATGACACTCCTTATATAGGAGATATTACAAACATCATTATAACCCATTATATGCCACTTACATATTATATATTACCACTATCTACCACTATCATATTATATACATGCCACTATCTACCACCAACACCACTATCATATTCTATATATGCCACTATCTACCACCAACACCACTATCATAATATATACATACCACTATCTTATTATATACATTAACACAAATTTCCAGCAGTAAGTCTTAAATGTTTCAGTATGTTTTTCAGGTTGACATTTTCAGGGACGCAGCAGACCATATGGTGAACTACATTGACCAAATTTGGACCCAAGGCTTTGAGATTGACTACTTAAGCATTTGTTGTCGACTGGGCATGGATCATTATCATGCTGTCACTATACTTCTCACACTCAGAAATCAAATTGACACTGTACTAAGGGTGCTTTTTCTAGTCTAGGCATGCAGAACCCATGCAGTTGATGTGGTCTGCGTGATAAGAAGGTATTTAAATCGCGTGAGTAAGGTGGTAGTTTTCTATGCATTACTAGTTTTATGCAACCTAACTTATATCTTCAAACCAAGCTCTGTAGAGATGATGAGAACCATGATCTTAGCTTGGAGATAGATGTGAGATCTCCTAATTGAGTCCTAGAGTGATAGGTCTACCTTTATTTCCTATCCTTCTCTAGAGTAGGTTATCTTAAGTAGTTACCCTTATATACACCTTGCAGACAGCTGAGAGCCCTTCAATTGTGATGGGTTTTTGTTTCTTGTGAAACTTACAGCATCATTTATATCACTGAATTATTTATTGTGGGATAGTTCATGTATGCATGTGAACATCTGGTGCACTGTTATTAAGTCTGGCTTTTAAAGAGAATGTTTACTCACTATTACCTTTTAGTGTAATTCATCGTATATGATAATGATAAAAATATGAACTTCATTAAATTCGCCATGGTCATCTATTTATCTGTACATATATGCATTTAAGGGCTCCAATCTTAACCAGGTTTCATAATTCAGCAAGTTTTTGGGCATTGTATTATGATATTTTGACATCTGAAGCCTTCAAATTTTTCAACGATGTACTTTGTGATTGTGTTCTTGTCTGTCCATGCTCTGGAAACATGGATCACTACTATTTACAATGGTGGTCTTAGGCGTAAATTCTGACACTAGATTTATATACTTACTACTTGTGAACGTATTAATGCTTAATTTCCGACAAGATTTTTATCCCAACACGATTGAGAATTCTTGAACTACTTTTCTATTGCAACCCAGTTGAACTTCAGACCGTTTGAAGCAGTCCTGTATTTAAGTTTGAAATTTTTGTGTTCTTTTGGGTACACTTTGCGCTGAACATGCTCAAATTAATATTGAAATCCCAGCTCTTTGTCATCTAGGTACTGATGAAATTCAGCTGTGATTTTGCTTCCAACTATATTACGGCTCAGTGAACACTTTGCTTAATGGGGTGGTTACTTCAACGAGCATTTATAGGCTACATGGATCCATTTTTTTCATTTGGTTCCATTTGCATCTCTTTTGCCAAATTATCAATTCCAGGAGGTGATCGTCCAACATCTCTCTTCATTTTTATTTTTTATTTTCGGTTTTTTTGGTCCGACTCTCCTTTTGTTCCATTTTGTTTGATGTTGTCCTCATTGACACAAATTATTCTGGTGTACAACATTGATAAAAACCGCACATGCAAGTTCATTTTGTTTTGAGGTAGCCTTTCATAAACTCCTGTTATTTGTGTTGCACATCATAACTTAAGGGATTGATGTGCTTCTCACCATTCCTTAATGCAATGGTAGACTAGACTTCTATTACAGTAATTTGATTCAGTTCTTCAGATGGATCATTGATCTTTATTCCATTTAACGTAGAATTAAACCGTAACTTGGCTTTAAATTTTCTGTGTTACCCATAATTTTTTTGTTTGGCAAGGCCCGTGTAATGGAGGGCATTCTAGATACAACATTGCCTGCCTATTATATTCTCAAATATAAACTATGTTACACGGACTCGGGTGCGGGTACGTATCTAGGGGTTGGGTACTTCAAAATTAAAAATTAAGAATACGTGAATATGGATCCAAACGAGGATACGAGTACGGGGATACGTTAAATATTTAATTTTTAAAATATATTTATTATTTTTATCTTATGTATTACTTTTATTGATAATTTTTTTAATTTATCTATATATATATTTTTTTACTTTTAATTGACATATATATTATAAATAATAAAAATATAATAAATAAGGAATAACAAATTATATTAAAATAAATATAAAATAGATAATGTATTTTGTAGATTTTATTAATTTTTTATTATATATTATTTAATTAAATTTATTATTATATAATTGATAGGTAGATGGTATATATTATATATTATTTATGATATAATTTATATTATACATTATTTATATAATAGGCACCAATTAAAAAGAAGAAAGAAGAGAAGACGGTCAAGAGAAGAATACAGAGAGAAGGGGGAGAAGAAAAGAGAGAAGACAACAGAGAGAAGGGAGAGACGACGTTGATCGAAACAGAGAAGAGAGAGATGAAGATGATCGAGAGCGAGAGAAGAGATAGAAGAAGAGAACAATCGAGCGTGAGACTGAGAGAGAAAAGAAGACAGTTCGAAAGAAGAAGATCGAAGCCCTAATCGCAGGATCGAAGCCCTAATCGTAGTTTTCATAGCCCTAATCCCAGGTATGTCATCTTTCTTCTTACTTCCATATGCCATATCCACTTCTTCCATGTCGTATCCACTTCTTCTATGCCGTATCCCGTCCGTATCCCGTACTCGTACCCGTGTCGTGTCATATCGACACGGGTACTTCGCCAAAACTGACGAGTCCGTGTAATGTAGAATGTAAATGGTGTTATATGTTTGAGCCATCTCTTCTTGTAGTTTCTTGACTTGTCACATTCTTCTAGTGCATTTGGTTGCTCACAAAAAAGATAATGAACTGAGAACTAAGAACGGACACGTGACATGACATAGACACGTGGACACGTAAACTTTTAAAAAATCTAGGACACGACACGTTACGTTGGGGACACATTCAAAACATATATTTTTATATTTTTATTATATGTATATTTTTAAATAGTTAATATATATTTTATGTCAAATATTTAATTTTATCAAATTTATCAACCTTAAGTATGCTATTTTAGTAATTTTAATTTTTTTGGAAAAAAATAATACTCAGCGTGTCCCTAACATGTCCCTAGCGTGTCCCAACGTGTCCACAGCATGTCCAAAGTGTCACAGCGTGTCCAGCACCAGCTCTCTCCAGCATGTCCAACAAAGTAGCATGTTCGGTGCGTGTCCATGTCCGACACATGTTGGACACCTATACGCGACCTTCAGAGACGTGTCCGTGCTTCATAGACTGATAACTATTTTATATGCACAATGTGGTGACCTGGTGGTCACGAGTTCGAGTCAGCCTCTCCATTTGCGGAGGTTAGGATGGGTACATCAACCCTTCCACCCTTCCCCAGACACCGCTTAAATAGGAGCTTCATGCACTGTGTACGCCCTTTTAATGTGGAATTAGACTATTAGGCATACCTTGCCATACATACGATAATTTTGTTACCTCTCCCATTCCTATACAAATACCACGTGAAAGCTCAAAAGTCAAATAAATTATTCTTTTTGAAAAATCTAAAAATCTTGGAGATATTGATTTGTGATTATGTATCAATTTTAAGCAGTAAATAACAATCCCAATCAAACAATCAAGACAAATCGACACAATGATTTTAACGTGGAAAAATCACAATTGGAGCGCCTCCAATTGTGATAAAAAACCACGGGCCAAAGCCACAAAACAATCCACTAAGAAGACACAAAAGCATTACACAAGTATACTCTCAATTACCTAGCGAATCCACACCCAAATCGAACTGACCCCTATATGCCTCTTCCGGCCCCGTCTTCACCTTAGAATTGTCTTGCCCAACGTTGAATCCACAACGCCGATATCGAATCCACGACGATGAGCCACTTCGGAATCCAACAAAGTTTCAGGCCCAAATTTCACGGAATTCACCGAAGAACAACTATCTCTCTTTTTGAATAAAACAAACTAAACAAACCCTTTATATAATTCATTCAATTCATGATTAAACTCTCACATATATCAAAGGAAACAAGCAAAGAAACTCCAGATGAAAACCCTAATACCAAGAAGAAGATCTGAAAGCCGTAAACCTAAAAACGGACTGAAACACATATTTATAGAAAACGGCCGCGATCTCCGCTCGGGCGCAAGAATGGACGCTCGAGCGAACTGACTACAATGCGTGTAAATAAACAGGGTCTACACTCGAGCGCAGGAACGGCTGCTCGAGTAGAAAAATAACTTGACTGCAATTTTGCTTTTTGCTTTGGGGGTACTGCCCCTTGACCCTGCCTGCGCGCTGCCCCGGACCGCCAATGGGTGCTACCCCTTGGACCCCCATGAGCTGACCAGGTAGCTCAATCCCCGACATAGTCAGTGAAATGGCAAACAAGAAAGAATTAACTTCTGAAACTTCTCTGGAAGGCACAATTTGGGTTGGATTCGCATCTAAAAACTCATAACCTCACTGCAATAAATGTTTAACAACATTACGACTGAAAGGAGTTTTGTAAAATAGGATTGCCGATAACAAAAACCTAACACTTTATCATTTACAATTTTTTGAGCGAGAAAGTTGATTTACATCTACCTTGTTTCTTTCCTGTTAATGTATGCTAATCGGCAATTTTTCCCTATTCTATCGCTTGCCTTTGAAAGTTTATTTGGTTCTATTTTGCATGCCTCAATAAATTATTCTGCACTTAACTAATGGGTAAAAAAAGATAGCAGTTTATATTTAGTCTTAAATGGTTTCTCATTGAGAATTAACTGTTGATTTTTTAATTAATGTTTTAAGATTGAAGGAGATGAAATTGATGACCAATATCTTGCATGGACAGGTAATTGAAGACCATGTGAGATACTTTGAGCTAGGGTCTTTCATTTTTTCCAAATGTTGACTGAGTCTACCACCACTTCTACTGGGTAAGAGGCTAAGATTGGATATTTTAATGGTCTGCATCTAGCTGCTCTGCATATTTATGTGTTTGAATATTACATTTACCATTGATGGCTAAATGATATTTATTGGTTGAACAAACTACACCAGTGGTACCTATACTTTATCCTTTGTGTCAAATTTGTTTATGTAGTTCCAATTGTGACAAATTTGCCTTATAATTTTTTCCATTCTGTCAGTTTGGTCGAAATGATAACATCTGTCAGTGTTTTTAAGGAAAATGCTCATGTAATCAAATACAGGAAACAACTCATTTCCCTTTCTCTCTCCCATTCATCTTCTTGCTCTCCCCTCTCTCTATAGAACACCCACACTGAACCCACTGTATCTCTCAATAGTTCTCTCTCTCCAATTAGGGTTACAATTCAGTCAAACGTAACCAGTTTTGCTTGGTGATGATTACACCGGAGTTGTGTTGTGTGGGTGAGAGAGAGAGAGAGAGAGAGGTGGTCAAAGGGGGCAAAACACCATCTAAATATCTATTAGTATTTTAGGTGTTCTTCTCATGGTTATACGCCTGAGCCAAACACTAACCAGTTTTTGTTCAAAATATTAACTAGAGCTATCAATTGAACCAAATTGACATAATATTAAAATTTTGTCACAATTGGAATTACAAGGATGAAATTGATACAAATGATAAATTGTAGGGTCCATTGGTGTAATTTGTCTTTATTAGCTTCATTGATCAAACTGTCACAATTGAAGAAGCAAATTAGATAAAATGTGCAGTCAAGGATCTGAATGTTGATGCATCATCTTGCAGTCCAATGAGAATAATTGTGGAAGTTGCTATTTTCTGATCCATTTGAACTGCAATATGTGCTATCAGAAGAAAAACATGAGTTCACATTCCCTATGTAATGCTTGCACACTTATTTTTAATTTTTATACAAAAGAAGGAAAAAGAAAAGACTAAATTGTAAATTGTAAATTGCATCAACAAAAGAAACTCCTCTTAGGTCACATTAAAGGGACCTAAGAGCTCACTGGGCATATGATCTAGATACAAATGATCCCTCCCACAAAGAAGACTTTGGTTAGCAAGTGCATCAACACAACCAATTTCTTCTATATAGATGTGAGACAGAGAGCATTATTTGTCTATGCAAAGAATTTTATTTTCAATAAAAGCTTTGAAGCGGTAAATACTGATAGTTATATCCTTGATAAGTCTTATAGCCTCCGTTGAGTCTGTCTCCACCATTTCTCCCTTAAAATTCTTCCCTGGTCATCCCAAATGATGCCTCCAATATTAGCATGACCTAGATTTTCTTTGCAGCTTCCATCTGAATTATGCTTTAACCTTCCTTTGCAGGAGGAAAAATTGAGTTAATAAGGACAACAGTAGACTTAGATCTTCTCTCTTTGAGAAGGGGAGAAGGCTTCATTAATAACCTTGGCATGGAAAGGAGTATTACAGATGAGCGAGCACTCTATCATCAGCGACACTGTTATTGGAATCTTACATTGTTTCTCTCCTAAAGATGCTGACAGATAAGCTATATAGTGGACTACAGGAAATGACAATTGTGCAAAGTTTGCTGTGAACAGTGGGACTTGAGCTACACTCTTAAGCTGCTTGGTTCATGGATTTGGATAGGGATTAGGAAAAGGAAAGGGAAAATGTGTGTGAAATATAGCTATATTTCATTCACATTCCACCTACTTTTTTCCTTTCCTTTTCTAAATCCCTATCCAAATCTATGAACCAAACGCAACATTAAGCTTATTATTGAAGAAGGAATTACTAGTGGAAAGAGTTGTAGAGCATTTTCAGTGAGGTGTTGACACCTCTCTCAAGAAGCAAAGGCAACCATACCTCCTGTGAATTTGACTCAAATTGAAAGGACTTTACCCTGGCTAGCCAAAAAAGCAAAGGTTTTAATCTTTAGAAGAGACTCACACTTCCATATCCAGTCTTCTAATTAGGCTCACTGGACATATCATTGTTGATAATGAGGTCATGAAAGTAGTTTTTGGAGCTAAATATGCCATTAGAATTCAGGCCTCAGGCCATTGATGATTCAATTAGTAGTTGAAAATGATCTCATTTTGGTGATTGGAATCCTTACACAAAATGGCTATAGATTTGTTAGTATCCACTTTTTTGTTTTTATTTTTTGAGTTTATTTATTTATCTATTTTTGAGATACTTGACAACTTTATCGCCGCATAAGTAAATAACAAAATTATTGGGAAAACCTTTTTGGCATGTTGTTTACATTACATTACGCTAAACATGATCGGAAAGCCTGTACATTTGTGTGTGACCCTTGAATGCTTGTGGAAGAAACTACACAAAATCTTGATTCACTCCCTGCGATTTTAGGTATTTATCAGATAGTATTGTGGCCGCCCTTAAAAATCTCTATAATTGTATTTCAGTCCTCTCAAACTTCACAAAAATCTCATTAAACTATGCAATTTTGAGTGTTTATTTATTATAATAAAAATAAAAATAAAAAATTATCATTTTGCTCCACAAAATATAAATTGTACTTTGGCTACTCATAAATTTAATAATTTTACCCTATACCTCCTCTGTACAATTTCAAAATTCCACCACTGACGAAACATTTTCGTAGGTGGCAGAATCTCAAAATGGACTTGTGGGTCAAAACAAGTCCTTTCAATGAAATTTTGGTGAGCTAATTGAAATGGGCTTCCATGGGAATGCCATATTTTAGAAGCAGCAATGATACATTCAGTTAATTTTTAAAGTTTTAATTGAGTTTTAATGATGTGAAAATTTAAATTAAAAAAAAATATCAAAATATCATATCAATTGGTGGGGCTCACTCCTAAAGTTCCTTTAGAGTTCATATTTTAGAGCTCTCAAACATTCTTCTTTTAGAAATACATTTGACAAAGCATCTCAAGCCTACTTCTATAGTGACTAGGGGTGTTTAAATTATCAAATCAAATTGACTTCTTTAGTTTGGGTTTGGTTCCGAGTGTCTAAATCATTTAATTGATAGGATTTTATTGATTCATTTTAGATCTCATTTAAATTGAATCAATCTGAGAATTCAACATGTATATAAATATTTTTTAATTTTATTTATATTATCATGTCTTCTCCTAATTAGTCTATTACAATGGGTTTGATTTCAACTGATAATTTTTCACATATAAGAATTATTAGGTAAATGAAGGAAGTACTATAAGTTTGAGTTGGATTTCAAAATTGATTTAATTTGCATTGATTGTATTAATGAATGTAATTTATATTGGTTATGTTTAAGCTTGAGTTGGACTTAATTTGTATTGACTTGCATTAAACAATATTTTACTTTTTATTTGTGTTATATTTAACTTTTAAAAACTCATTTATCTTAATTATTTATTATTAATTGATTTACTTGTTTTTAATATAATGAAACTGTGATCCCAACTTAAACCAACTCGAGCTATATTGGGTTGGATTGAGTTGGTTCTAGTACATGATTGGTTTAGTTTTGGATCCAAAAAAATTGGAACCAATTGAGTTGATTTTAAATTTAGTATCAAATTGAGTCAAACTGACCCATGAACACCTTTATCAACAATTGAAACTTACTCATTGGCTACAAGTTATCACATTACTTTTCTATTTTTTTGCACATATTTTCATAAAAGTCAAAAATAAAAATTAAGTAATTATTTTTTGACTTTTTATAAAACGATATTTAAAAAAATAAAAAAGTGATCTAACAACTTATAATAAAGAGTGATGCTAGGTAACCCTAATTTTTGTGACTCAAATTGGCTCAAATGATATGGCTCGATGATTTGGCGATGATCTGGCGATGATGTGGAAAATTATTATATATATATATATATATTTTAGGATACTAAACCTAATTGTTCTTGATAATTCACGATTTCTTGAAATATTTTACCAACTCTTTTACTTGTATCTATATCTTTAGCTATACCAGTATTTAGTTGATTTTGTAAAAATTCACGACATTAGTGACAATTTTCTATTAATATTATTACTTGATTACCATCTAGCAACAGGTCTTGGATATAAAAATGGTGGTAAAGACTCATAAAAGGGAAAAAGTTTTAAATGTTTTGATTTTAGGTCCACTATGCTTTCAAAATAAGAACAGTATCTAAAGATTTTGATCGTTACCTGAACATAGTCGGCGTAGGGCTCTGGCGTTGGCAAACTTCCAGTTTACAGAGGTAGTTACCCTCAATCTTTCCTTCCTTAGATCAGGCTTAGCACAAATCTGTTTCGTTTCCTACCTCAGACCGTAACTTCAGAAACTGCTTCTTTGGTTATGCAGGAGACATAAGATCAACAACTTGACATACAATAATGACACACTCTCTTCTAAAAATGAAAAACTTTTTTATTTATTGAACAAATATTTACAAGGAAATGGATGTCTGTAGACTGTTGGATTGCTAGAGTATTGTTTGCTCTGAAAAGGCCTAAGAACCAAAGCTCTAAGGGGTTGTTTAGGATGTGCTATATAAGTGCACTTTTTGGCTAAAAAAGTAGAGAATAAAAAGATGCATATTTGGGATAACTTTTTGACTTTTTACGAAAAGATGTGTAATAAAATATTGTAGTAAAATCAAAATGACCATTTTACCATTGTTGACTTTTTGACTTTTAACTTTTTCACTTTTGAGTATTTGAATTCAAAGGGCAAAATAATAATTTTGCTCTCTTGGCTTCCCCACAAGCTTCACCAAATAAAATGGACTTTTGGACTTTTTTTAGTAACTTTTTTATTTTTGTAATAGATCCCAAACACCTACTTAGTGTCAAGTATACCCTAAGTAATCTATCTCCTTTTTCTCTCCCTTATATAGGCACCTTGTGGACTTCTAAATCCGGATTTCAACTTATTCTATAAATATACAATATTTTATAAATTATATTTTATTGTTAGTAGAAGACAAACAAGAGATAAAAAAGTAGGTGGCATGGCTACATGCTGATTTATTTATTAACAAAAGACACCTGGTGGGGTAGTCACATGGAAGTGTAGTCTTCAGCCCATGGTTTGCCGAACTGCCTATGGTTTTGTCAACCCATTGCATTGTTTAGATTCCACATCCCTGCATCACCCATGATATCACTAAGATCATGATTGTCATCATACTCTTCAAACATCTCATCACATCCTTTTAGATCTTGTTCCATAAGATATTTCTCCACAATTTTTTACATCCTCTTTTAGATAAATACGTCTCTGATTCTACTTGTTCCAAATAATCATATAATGATTCATAAGGCAATCCTGGAGCAATTAATTTTTCTGCCAAGGATGGTGTTATGGCAAATGTAGTTCTTCCATAATTAACTAATTTGAATCCAACCCTTGCTAATTTTGTAATTTCGTGAGATATTAGGAAAAATGCCCTCACCCTTGCTTCTATTGGATCTAATATAAAAGGTTCATCCCAATCTTGGAACCAATCATATTTGTAAGGGATTACGTTTTTCTTGTCTTTGACTTTTATCATATAATGAGCTGCATTTAGACGTTCATCATTTACCTCTGTTTGGGCAGTTGTAAATGTGATGGGTGTCATGCTTGGATATTCTTCAAAGACTTCATAAATTATTTTGAACATGAATTGTTGGAATTTGGTGAGCTGAGTGAATATAGTACTCTGTAGATGAGGTGGAATGTCGAATGTATTGATTATTCCCAATTTCCACATTTGAACCAAAGGATCTTTTAGGATAATGACCTTTTCTGGATTAAATGAAACTTTTAACATTCTATAACTATGCAATGTAATTCATCCGTTGAAGTAGCACTATTGAGTTCCCAGATAGGTGACACATTCTTCATACCATTTCAGAAATACCTTAAAAAAATGACATTTTTTTTATTTTATCTTGGAGGTCACCAAGGTGTTGAAGAAACGAATATAATACTTTTAATCTTAAAAAGGTTTTTGCTACTAAATGGGTTGTTCTAATAAGCTCATTCATAGAACGGCTCTTTCTTGCAGCCTGCATTTTTCTGATAATTTTAGCACTGTCTTGTGTCACCAAGTCCAGCACTTCTTGAGTTTCTTCCAGGAGTGTTTTTTCTCTGGTAGTGTAAGTCATGTGGATGTGGATGCCGATGCCATCTGCAAGTTCTTGAGTTAAGGTATCTGCTAAACTATTTTTATTACTATTAATATGTTCTATATCAAAAGTAAATTTTTTTAACCAAAGTTGCCATCATAAAAGCCTCCCTTGCGTCTCCATGTTAGATAAATCCTTATTTATGTAACATAATAGGCCTTTGCAATCAGTTCTTATTAAAAACGATTTTGGTGCCAAAAATATTTAAAAACTTTCTATTCCTTTTACTATGGCTAATAATTCTCTTTCCATGGTAGACTAAATTACATTCAGCTTGATTAAAACTTCCACTACAATATCTATACATAATTGATTATTTTCTTTTATTTTTAAAACTGCGCTCCAGTGATTGTTATTTGCATCAGTTTCTAGTACTAGCTCATCATTTTCATTAGGAAGAGTTAGGGTAGGTAAATCTGTACATTTTTGTTTTAAGAATTTTACTAAGGTGGAGTCGGCTGAGTTCGAAGTCCAACTCGCATCCTTCTTTAGTTTCTTTTGTAAAGATTTTCTTATTTTGGCTAAGTTTTTTATAAAATCTGAGGTATATGTTAAATATCCTAAAAAATCTTGCTAACTGTTTTCTATCCATGATTTTATTAGGAAATTATTAATTTTTTCGAGAACATGATTTTGCATTTTATTGTTCCTCCTTTGACTTCAAGTCCTAAAAATTCTATTTCATTTCGTGCATACACGAATTTCTTTTCACCTAATATTATTTCATGTTTTCACATTTTTCTGTTATTATTTTAATATCTATTCTATGTTGTTCTATGGATTTGGAAAAAATTAAAATATCATCTATATATACAAGACAAATATTATTTAATTCTTTAAAGATGTTATCCATTCTTTTTTGAAATATTTGAGGTGCATTTTTTAACCCGAATGGCATTACAAGCCATTCATAATATTCTTGTCGTGCACTAAAGGTTGTTAGTGAGATGCTATTTTTATCCATTTTTATTTGTCAATATTCACTTTTACAGTGCATTTTGGAGAATCAGGAGGCGCCCCGTATTCTGTTGAGAAGGACTTGCTTATTTGGAATAAAATAACCGTCTTTTTTAGTATTATCATTTAATGTTTTGTAATTTATTACCATTCTAG